CGCAGCCCTCCTGACCCCCGCAGGCCTCGGCCAGGCCTTTGCGCCCGCGTGCAAAGTGGCGGGATGGCGGCGGAGGTCTGGCCCCTGGGCAGCTCCGGGTCACTGCAGGAAACCAGGGGCCCCACCCGGGACAGGGGCAGTGCCCAGCCCTGGACGCCCAGAGCAAAGCCCCGCCCCGCCCGCCCCTGAAGCCCTGGCCCCCACCCGGCTGGCGCTGGCCTGCCCAGTCTGCAGCTTCCATCCACCCCGAGCCCCCAGGAGCCCCCAGGTTTTGGACGCACATCCCCAGCCGGCCTCGGCCAGTCTCAGGGCCACAAGCCCCAGCGGCTTCTGAAGGCCCTGCAGGATGATTTCAGAGGTGTCCCTGCATCTGGGAACAGCCGATTCTGTAGCCAAAAGCTAACCTGCACAATAGGAACCTTCTAGTTCTGCTCCTGGACGCCCCCACCCCCATAAAGTTGGCTGACCGGGCCCCTAGTGGCCCTGTGGGAGGCTCAGCGCCTCGGACCTGCCTGGGCACTGTAGTGCCAGTTGCATCCCGGCCGGGAGGGACCCCAGGGCACAGCTGGCCTCTCCTGCACCCGGCTGCCCCTCAGCAGTGTGTCAGGGCTCTGCCTCCTGCTCCCCATTACTTCCCTGGGGGAATCGCCTCACACACATCCGTACCTCTGGCCTGCACCCCAGCTCTGTGTGTGTAAATAAATACATCTTAAGGAGAAACTGGACTCCACGTGTTTTCCACCTGGCTTCTTGCCATCTGGTGAGGGCCACACGACCCAGCTGTACGGTGAGATCCTGACGCGGGGAAAATCCTGAAAAGCCAGGGAGGTCCACAACTGGCTCCTCAGGTCTTTCCGTTTGTTCTTGGCTGCTCCCAAGAGGCATAGCAGCTGTCCAGACAAACGCTCAATATCAAATCAGTCATTACTCGATTGGATCGATTGGTTCCAGGACAGAAGCATTGTTCACCATCAGCAGAGCACGTTGCAAACTAATCAGTATCCCTCTGCTGGAGGGCTGGCCCACGTCGAGGTGCCACGACCATGGGAGACGCTCAGGCCCCGGGGTTCTGGGGACCAAGGGCTGTGGTCACTTCCTGCCCTTCCACAACAAAAGATCTACAGTTTTGAGTAACATAGTTTCCTCTTAAGTCATGGAGTCATAAATACTAGTTTCCCACTCTTTCCTCTAACTTTCACCCCGACCTCTCGCACAGGATAATCGTCAGTGGCCGTGTGAAGAAAGACACTTTCCCCTAATTGTTACGTGAGATGCAGAGACCAGGTCGACAAAACCGTGACGGGCGCAGTGATTGACAGAAGCTGCTTCTGCAGATCCAAAAAGGGGCCGGGAACTGTCCGCTTGTGGCTGGTGCTTCTGACTTGGCTCCTCACAGGAGACCTCTGAGGCTGAGGTCACCGAGGCCAACACGGAGACTGCTTACGTCGCAGAGCTGCCTGGTCACCGCAGACAGCTTGTGTGTTGTTGATGATCAGCACAGGAGTGATTACTGATGACTGGTCACTGTCAGGACATTTTGTGTATTAATTGCGCTTCGTATCAATGAATGATGAATGCCACAGTCTCAGCAAATCAAACAGTCCCGGGTGTCGGCGGGGGCCCGAGGGTCCTCCCTGTGGCGCAATAGGGCAGGGCGCAGCCGAGACGCCCCGCAGGCCCCCCAGCACAGTCGATCCCGCAGGGAGTGACCACATGTCTTCAGGCCTCTCCGCCTGCCCGCTGCCCCCACAGCAGTGGGTTCCAGTGGCTTCGCCTGTTCCACTCCCCGCACTGCCTCTGGGGCGTCCTCTCACCCCTGCACCTCAGGCCTGCACCCCAGTCCCCATGTGCGCAGATAAATCTTCTTAAAAATGTGACAATTGTTCTCTGCTTTATGCACACACCTATTAACCCCACTCTTGCTTGTGTGAATAAAGCCCTGGGCCGCCCTGGGCAGAAGGCAACGGCCCCTCAGGAGTCCGCTCCTGGCCTTCCCAGCCCCTGCCCCAGGGGCTGGCCTGCAGCCGCTCACCCTCATCTCCAGCGTTTCTGCAGGCAAACCTGCTTCCTTCCCATCGGCAGTGGGCACAGGGCAGCCATGTGCGGGCGTCGGATCCTTCTTTTCTGCTGCTGTAGCTGCTGCACCCAGGCCAGAGCGCAAATGAAGTGTCTGCAGGACCTTCCCCCGGCCACTGGGGCTCCCTGCGGGCCAGCTCTGCTCCCGCCTGTGCCCCGGGGCGGCCTGAGCCTCCTGGGCGGCCGCAGCCCCAGCTTGGCCCACTGTGCTCTCGAGGGTCCAGAGCCCAGCGGCCCTTGGTCACCCTCTGCCCTGGGGGCTGGGCCTGGACCTGGGGGCACGGGGAGGCCCCTGGGCATGTCTTCTCCCTCTGCCGGGCAGCTGCCCCCAGGTCTGCCCCAGCCCAGGCCACCCAGGTCCCCCGCCCCACGGGCACCCGGCTGTGTTCCCTCCCTCCCTGCTGCTGTGCCAGCATCTCCCATGAATTCCCTCGTGCCCGCCGGCCAGTAGCGTGACGGGTGAGTGGTGGGGGGCCGCCAGCCCGGGAACGGCAGGGCCTGGGCCACAGGGGCACGGGCGCCCCGTTCTGCTGCATGAGGAGCGTCCCCAGCTCCGGGGTACAGTGGGCCCCCAGGGCGGCCACCAGGCCTCTGATCAGGAACGAGGGCCCCCAGCGAAGTGGGGGGGTAGCTTCCTGGCGCCTGCGAGTGTGAGCTCTGTTTACTCTGAGGAGAGCATAAACATCACCGTTCTATTATCGCTATTTAAACACTCAGTGCCTCATCCTGTTTCTATGTAGCCCGGTTTCCCTGGAACCCCCACCCCAGAGCTGCCGGCCCACGGCACAGGCCCCGCTCCTCCCACCCCGCCTGGCCTCCGCCTCTGCCTCCCCTCAGTGCCTCTCACCTATTGCTGCCTGGTGATTCTGAGTTTTACTTTACTGTAGTTGCTTTTCCCTGATTCCTTATTTGGTTCCCCTACATTCCCCCATAAGGGGGCCCATTCGAGATACAAAAAAACACACACACGTATACATACATACATACATATATATATATATATATATATATATATATATTTTTTTTTTTTTTTTCTCCTGGCTTATTCACTGAATAGCACCCCTTCCAACTCTATCCATGCTGCGAAGGGCAGGAGTTTATCCTTTATGATCGCCAAGTAATATTCCACGGGGAGGACAAACCACCTCTTCCTGTCCGGTCTCCACTTTTGCACACTTGGGTTGCTCCCATGGGGCCCTCTGGATCGGCTGCTGCGATGTGGGGGTGAAGTCGCCGCGTGTGCGGTTCAGTGCATCAAACATGCTCACGGTGTTGTTGCGCAACGCCACTACTGTCCCTTTCCAGAACTTTGTCGTCACCCCAGGCTGGGGCTGAAGCCGACCCCTTTCCCCTCCCGCAGCCCGGCCGCCTCCAACCGTTTCTATGGGCATGTGTCCGGCAGCGAACCTCCTGGAAGGGCTGCATGGACACCTGTTGAAGCCCAGTCCCCGGGCCATGCTGGTGGCTGCCAGCGCTTTCCCCAGGCTGTTACAAGCCACGCCCTGCGTCAGTCCCACACACGCTGTTTTCCGAGGCCACGGCCGATCTGAAGTCCTCAGGAGAAACCTCACCGCACCCGTGGACAGCAGCTCTTCCCCGGCCCAAGCAGGCTGCAGAACCCAGGTCTCCTGCCCAGGGCGGCGGGCGGCACCGACATGCTGCGCTGAGCCGAATCCTGGGCTTCCCTGGCCCACAGCCACCTGTCCCCTCGGGCAGATTCAGGTGCCAGACAGAGGGGTAGAGCGCGTTTTTTATGTTTATATCACTTTGGGCCTTTTTCCATCTCAGTTGTCATCCCCGCGGGCTTCCCACCACCAAATCTCCTGTGTGCCATCCACAGTCCTGTGCATGGGGGGGGGAGCATTTTTGAATTATTTTTTTAAGGATTTATTTATGCACACAAAAACTGGGGTGCAGCCCCCATGTTTATTGCTGCTTTATTTACAATTAGAAAAACATGGAAGCAGCCCAAATGCCCAAAAGTAGATGACTGGATTAAAAAGATGTGGTACATATACACAATGGAATATTACTCAGCAACCAAAAAAGAGAAACACATGTCTTTTGCAGCAACTTGGATGGAGCTGGAAAAGATCATGCTTAGTGAGATATGCCAGAAAGAAAAAGAAAAATACTGGATGGTTTCGCTCATAGCAGGAGTATAATGGACCAGGCGAGAAAATGATAATAATGAACAGCCATATACCAGAGACATTTTGCGGGGGTGGAGTGGGGAATAGGATCAAAAACGGGGGGTGGGGGGGGGGGGGAAGGGTGCACAGGATTATGATGATGGCACACGGTGACTCAGTGATGGGAAACCCGTGGGGATTACAATTGAGATGGAAAAAAATAAGTACAAAATGATGTAAAAATAAACTGTTATATAAAAAAAAAACAACGAATGACGGAATGAATAAAAAAAAACTGGGGTGCAGGTCAGAGGTGTGGAGGATGAGAGGGCTCCCAGAGACAGAGTGGGGAGCAGAACAGGCGGATCCCCTGAAACCCACTGCTGGGGAGCGGCGGGAGACGGGGGTCCACTGCACCCTGGGGTCCCTCCCTGGTGGGAGATGGACTCAGGCTGCAGTGGCTGTGGACACTTCACAGTGCTGAGACTCGCCCCCGCGCCCCAGGAGGCCCTTCTCAAGTTTCTACCACATGGGAGAGCCTAGAATCCGGCCTGTTCTGAAGGCCCTTGTGGACAGTTAGGGGTGCAAGACAGTCCCCTGTGTAGTCTGGGGTGAGAGACCCCTCCACAGCCCACATAAACACCCCTGCAGACATATGGGTCCCTACATTTTCTTGGACACAGAGCTCCGACTGAGGCCTGGCAGCTCTGCCTGGCAAGGGATCCCCAAGTTTCTTGTCAAAATTGGGGCCGAGAGCCTCTCTGGTGGCGCAGGGGTCAGTCTCAGCGCTGTCAAGCTGTTAGTAGCCACTGCGCTGCCCGGCCAGGGGGACCCCCAGGCCTGCAGACCCCCGTGCCTCCCGCCGCCCCCTCAGCAGTGTTTCGGGGCAACCGCCTGCCCTGCTCCACGCTCTCTCTGGGCGTGCTCTGAGCCCTTGCCCCTGCGGCTTCACCCCAGCTCCTGCCTGCATCAATCAATCTTTGGGAGACCACCCACTCCAAGGACGGGGCGGTGGTGCCCAGAGGCGCGTGCAGACCCTGCACAGCTGGCGCGCAGCCCTGAGCTGTGTTTTTGCTGGGGAATCGCCCCAAAAAGCTGTGTGTGTAGAAGCCACTGCGCCCTGCGCGCCCCCTAGGGGCTCTCCGGTGCGGCGCGTCAGGGGTCCTCGAGCTTCCAGACAATCCCCCAGCGGGTCCCCCAGCGGCTGCCGGGCTGGCTGAAGTGCAAGAAGCTTCGAGAAGAGCGGGGCGCCGGTCCTCGTGTCCGCCTAGGCCACTCCAAAGTCTGGATTCACAAAGGCGAAGGGACGGGGCGTCTGGCTGAGCCCCAGTGGTGAGGGTACGTCCAGCGGCGTCAGGTCCCTCCGCTCCCTCCTCCTGGGCTGCCGTCAAAGAGGTGACCACTCACATTCAAACGCAGGTGACCTGGAAGGCCAGCTATGTCACCGGCCAGGGCGCGACATGGGGGCCCCTGCGGCACAGCTAACCGCGGGGGCCGCAGCCGACCGCGGGGGCAGCAGCTGACCGCGGGGGCTGCAGCTGACCAGGGCCGCAGCTGACTGGGGGCTGCAGCTGACCGGG